TATTGGTGATTCTATTTACTAGTTTTATTTAAGTAGGTGAATGATAGAGTATGATTAAATTTTGTACTTAATTATATTTACGGAATACTTTATTTATACATTAGTACACCTAGAAACATCTTGCTGCCCTTGTTCCGTTTTATTTGGGGTCGGCGCAATATGTTTTTTTCTTCCATTCTGTCCTGTCCCCGTCACGCTATCACTAACTCCTCGGTCTTCCATATCATTTCTCACACAATCCATCCATATTTTCTTTGGTCTCCCTCTCCCTCTCCATCCATCCACATTTATGCTCATGGCTTTTTTGTAACATGCGTTTCATCCCTCCTTTTCACATGGCCATACCAAGACAAACGGTTCCCTTTCAACTTTTCAGTCACTGGCGCCACTTTCAAACTTCCTCTAATATATTCATTTCTTACTTACGTACGTACGTACGTACTAGAACAAAAGATCCAAAAGTAATATTCTGTTTGTAAGTATGTTTGGTTATTTGCATAACTTAATCTCCTGAACTTATAGACGGATTTCAATGAAACTCTTTGCTGTATTTCTAATAAATAGGGGCATTATAGAGAGTATTTTTTGGAAATTGGATAAAAGAAATTCCGTCTTTAATCAATACTTAACGCGAACGAAGTTAAAAGAGCTCTTTTAAATAAATAACTGATTAAAATGACTCATAATTTCTTCAAAGTTTGCCTTCTAAGACATACCAGTTTCCGAACGACGTCTTCTTTTTTCATTCATAAATTATGACCAAACAAATTAGGTACACCTGACCCATTCCTGACTCATCATGCTCAACAATCAAGTATAGGTTGGAGCGGTCCAAAATGGCCGTTTACGAAACGAAACTTTATTTCATTCAAAGAACATGGCAACAGGTATTATGCAGATAAATGGCAAATAAAACGATTTTTCTCCATAATTTCATGGAGAGAGACGTTTCGACCAAGTTGCACTAATCGTAGGCACATTCGATGCTTTTTGGAGGAGATAAAATCATACTATCTCTTCCTTGATCCCTTTCTCTCCCACTTTGGGCAGCGAGAAAGAGATTGTCAGACTCATATTGATTTAAAAACTACCCTGTTCCTCCTCCCGCTCTGGGCCGGGGCTGCGATACATTATTACGCTTGAAACCACAATCCCGGCCACAATCAAGTTCTATTGTCTAAAAAACTTTTTATTTTACTTATTTCGTAATAGACAGGCATTTGGCCCCTATCACGCCTGGTGACAAGCGATAATGCGACCTACGATGGAGCATAAGCAACTTCACTCGGGTCTTGTAGACAACCAGGTGGACACAGAATTTAATTCACAATATGACACGTTTTTGTACACGGGATTTGAGGGAATCAGGGAAGATGCGGGAAAAGACTAGTCCTTCCATAACCTCACTAGCACGATGTGACACAAAGCAAGCGTTACTTCGCTCTGGGTATTTGTGAGGCCGTGATATTACTCTGTTCGAGCTCGTCAATTCGTTGCGAAGCATGAATCTCCCATACTTAGATCTCACTCTATCTAAAAATGGTCTTAAATTATCCAAAAAAATTGCAACACCAAACCAGATTACATCCCTACGTAGGTATCAACATAAAGTTATATTTTTAAACTATTTAAATAATCTCAAATCGTGACACACGCCAAACGGGACTCGGTCTTTTGAGTCGTCCGACTCAAAGGACGGTCGTATTCTCGTACTGGACGCAATTTCGCGCCCACAACCATTTGCATGTAAATTTGACGCGAGCGCAACGCAAAGAACTGTCGTCGCATACTAGTTGAATATTAATGTAATGGATCCTGTTAGGGGTGACAGATCAGATGTAATAGAATAAATAATGGCCATAATTAGCCCACATGGAACTAGTTAACATCTTTCTATACTCTACAAGGTCCATAATTGATCTCTCACAAATTGTTCCCACCTTTACATGTATGTACTTGCTTATGGTGAAGCAAAAATAGAGCATTGAGTATTGAACCTTTACAAGAAGTTAAAGTTTGCTACAATATTTAATCGTACTTATTGGAGTGAGCTCCACTTATTCCAAAGTAATAGGTACAAGATGCTTGGAACGTGACTAAAAATATAGTATAGTATAGAAGAAGTTTAGGTAGGTACTTTGTATGTTGATAAATTTTACATTTAAAAACTCAAACGTTGACGTTATAGAATAAAAAAGACTCATAGAAACAATCAAGAAGTTCTTTAAAATTATCTGAAATTTATTGAGAGTTTGGTAAAAATATAATGTTTTAAAGTAAAAAATAATGACATTCTGGTCTACCAGCGATCTCAAGAAATATGTAACAGATTACCAAAGACAGTCATTCGATAAATATCTGTGACAGCCCTAGCAAGCCAATCGACCGGTACATTTAACACGATAGCATTTCTCCCACGTTATGCGCAGGCGCCACTACAAAGTCACTTGTAAAACAATCCTATTTTTTCTACTATATGTAAGTACATAAGTACCTGCGAGTTTAAAAGTTCTGTGTCCAAAATATAAATAGTAATATTACGGAGAAGCTTGATGTTCCAGTTCAATTAATATAAAATGCTTTTACTACTGAGTAGACCAACTGGTCAAAACTAATCTCAAAACATTGTCTCTAGCTTATAGTTTAAAAATTATCTACACTAACATTATGAAGCTGAAGAGTTTGTTTTACATGAACGTGCTAATCTTAGAAACTTTTGCGTCGAATAAAAAAAATATCACGCTACGATCAATAGGAACCGAGCAAACACGAGCAAAAACAAATAATATTAGGATAAAATCTAAGTGTGGGAGAGCCATGTTTAGGCACGAATGGGCCGGCTAGACAAGAGTGACACCACGGCCTCACAGTAAACTGGGTTGATGAAACTTTTACGTTGTGTTTCGCCGTGTGAGAGAGGTTACCGGAGGCCCAATCTCTCGTCAATCTTTAAATTCCCTATCCATAAATCCCTAGAGGCCGGCAAAGCACTTGTGGTAACTCCTTTGGAATTACAAGTGTCCATGGACGGCACTAATTGATGAAGTAAGCACGTATGACATAAAAAATCTACGACAAGAGTGGACACAGCCTTTTTTCATTGGAAACGTTGAGATTTAAGATTTTCTCGTGCATCGAGTCAGCCGGAACAATAATTTGTTGCTCCGTGCGGATTTCGAAGACTCGACACGTTGCGTTTAGGTAAGTCTGTTAACCATGCGCCCATCCACTGTACTATCAAAATACAATAAAAATGTACAACACAAGAATGTATTTAAATAGTTCAAGAATAAATTGTAGTCTACCGTAATAAGAACATGACAGGAATTTAGAGTTTAAAGAACATGAACTAACTGTTTGTGTTCAATGCAAATTTTGATTATTGTTTGTTACATCTTACTGTAATGCAGTAACGTCATAATAGACTGACACCCGGTTTCTGAAAGGCTTGTCAACGCTAAAATTAACTTATCTCCTGTAAAATCTCTTGTCAAGTCATCTGATTGGTTGTTGATAATTCAGTCAACCAATCAGATGACTTGATAAGAGATTAAATTGATTTTAACATTGATCGGCCTTTCGGAAACTGGGGGTAAGTACAACCATTCATAATAACATAATCATCAGTCTATAAATGCTCACTGCTAACCAAGAGCCTCTTCTCACACCGAGGATGATTGAGCATTATCCACCACGCTTGCTCTAGCCAAATTGGAGATTTCAAACTTCATAAGTTCTGGTTTTCAGGTCAGTCTTAATAGTTTTGGAAAATATATTACTTGAAAAAATCACATTGGGACTTGCCAGGTTTCAAACCCGTGCCCTTATGTGTGAGTATGTAAGATCTCACCGGAAGGAAATCTTAAAGAAGCGTTTATATTTAAGCAGGAAAATCATTCAATGACTTCTCCCGCCGGATAGGGCGAGAAGAAGCGTCAGACTATTACTGACGAAAATCAACCATGATTCTTGTCCTGCTACAGCCGGGCCTGAGGTCCGAGCCGTCTGACGAAGTCCCACTCTACTCCAGAATAGCATTGATGGCTGAATGAAATACTATTCTGGACTAGAGCTAAGTTTTTAAAGAGTAGGTTATTTATTTTTTATACATTCCTGTTCAAATTGGAAATGACTACAATAAAAAATCTAATTTTAACCAAATCTAAACTAAAAGTCTCGCCGAAAGCAAGTAAAAAATTATGGCCTTTAAAACTACCTATTTCATTTCTTTTTAAGTTTAGATATTAAAATGCTATTGAGGTTTTAAGAAGACTAATACATTATTACCTAGCCTATTTTCTATCGCTAAAGCCATAAGTTCCTTATACTTACATTGCGCAAAGGCTCGTAAAAAGACTCAACGCTAATAGATTCTCGAGTTTATTGTACTTAAATAGGAAATGAGAAAAAATAATGCATTGTGTGTGCATTGCGGTTATTGGTGCCAGCAATGTTGTTATTCTCAGCATTTCTGTCAGCTTTCGCTTTTTGCCGTTAACCAAGTAGGTTAACAGTCACTGAGAATTTTGTTAAAAATAACTCCGATTCGATCGTGTGTGCTCGTTGATGTCTAATGTTCGGAAGATTTGACGATCGCGTTTCAAAAGAACATTAACGTTTAGAAATTACTTTTTCTTAGTTCTATTGATAGATTAACATAAACATATAGTTAAACATGTTCTGTAATTGTAAAATTCTGCCTTCTACAAGTAAACTTAAGAAAAAATATAAATAATAATAGAGAAAACCTAGACCTAAAAACTGACAAATCATCGCTTTAAAAAGCTCATTAGAGATCCCGCATTACTGCTGACCGCTACAAGACCCACAATTTCTTTAGTAGTGGAAAGTTTCGTTATATTTGTAGCCATTTGTAAACGCTTAGACACCAGAGATGAGCCGGTGAGAGGCTTCGGCCCAAACACGGCTCGTGGTACGTTGACGGCGATGCGTCCCTAAATAATACCGCTATTATACGCTTAAAACTTCAAACAACATACCGGTGGACTATAGAAAAACACTCCTGGCAGGTAGGAACACTTTCTAACAAAAAAATAATACAGTCTGTTTCACAATCACTGACACAACACAAGCAAAAAAACTTTAGGATAATAGTTCAAAAATATTTGAAAAGAATTTTAAAGTGTTTTGTGATGACACGAAATGGTATTGATTTATAAATGCGCGTGCGCGGATCGCGCGTGCGTGGTGGAGTGTTGACGCGGCGCGCGGGACTGACGCGATGCGCGGGCGCCGCCGACCGGTCGAGATTTCTCCCCGTAAACAACGAAAGCGAGCCTCTAAGCCTTTCTTCGAGTCGCGGCGAAACGAGAAAGAGGCCCTACTAATTATTCTCGAACACTCGAAATGTGATTTTAGTTATACAGGAGAAAAATTTTAAACATAGGTTATGGTTTGTTAGATTGTTATTTAACAACAATTATTATTAACCTATACACATAAATGTGTGTAAGATTAATACTAATTAGTTAGTTACAGTGTAACTTTAATTCATTCACCACCTATTGTCCTTCTGTTGTTTCTCTAATTTAATTAACACGATTGATATTCTTCTCAAATTCGATATATGGCTTTGGAAGCTAGCCCCTAGCTAGAAGTAAAGTATATATATTTTTTTATTTATTAACAATTATTACATTGTGTTTAAATTTATACAACAAAGAATTATACATGCAATTATATTGAATACAATTTTTTAAGTGAACATAGATAAGTATCTAAATAATTGCGCGAAGTATTTTCACAATATCAATAAAAAAATTAATTTATTAATAAATCAATAAAATGCATTTGTCTTTTCAAGTCATTGAGAGTCTAACAATGTCCAGAGAACCAATATGGAACAGATAAAATTGCAGAAAACTATTTTATCGGGTACGTTTATAAAGAATAATAATTCCATATACAGGTTAGCAAGGAACTTGACTAGTTAGTTACAAGCCACTCTAGGGGGTCATATTCATTTTCTTCTCTATGTGTTCATGCAATTTGCGCTTGCCCCGCAACCCCTGCTGAACATCAGCCCTGTAAGGTACCGTCTGTGTCGCTCTATTGGCTCTTTGAGGCGCGCGCAGAAGGCAACGCGGCGTACGCTCGGGTCTAGTTCTATTTCGGGATTGTTTCATGCATGAGACGCATTTCGCGACATTCACCGCATCATATGTTGTCTATTGGTCTAGCTATTCGCGTTTTGTGTCTTATAAATCAAATTATAAGTTTGAAATCACCAGTCCGCCTTGAGCAAGCGTGGTGATTAATGCTCAAACCTTCTCCATGTGAGAAGAGGCTCAGCAGTGGGCACTTATAGGCTGATGATGATGATGGTGATGATTCGCGTTTTTCGCCAAACAGTTACATAAACAATCCGTTAAACATAATAATTAATTTAATTAGAAATTATAAGTTCAGATACCCTCACGATGTTACCCTTCGCCGTGTGTAAGCCTAAAATTAAATAATCATAGAAAGTAGGTACTAAAGTATAACTCGGAAAAAGCCACATAGGTGTTAGCCAGGTTTTATGATCTGAGAAGCGGGCACTTTAACCTCCGGGCCACCAAACACAAACACGAAAATGGTAAGTAAAAATTACTTTAGTTATGAAACTAATTATTTATTACTAAATTATCCCTTGAAATATCTTTACTAATAGTATAAAGAGATAAAATTTGTAAGTTTGTATGTAGGGGTAATCTTTGGAACCGCAAGTCGGATTTCCAAAATTCTTTCACCGATAAATAGCTACAATGTTCCTGAGTGCTACCTACAGGCTATAAAACATCACGCTACAATCAAGTGGAGCCGAGCAGCGAGTGAAACCGTGCGGGAGTAGCTAGTATTAAATAAAAACGGTAACCTCGTCAATTCGACTTTAAGAGCAAATGGTAGGAGCTGTACCTGCTTTCATATAAGACTTGAGTCACCAAGTCACCACACTCAATGACGCGAGACCCAGGATACACATATTCGGTCAAGGAGGCATAAATAAAATGACTAAAAATATGCAAATTTAAAATTACCACACCACCCACACGTTTTTGCAAGGATGAAAAGGATAAAATTCAGTTTTTATTGAATCATCCGATATGACATTTTTAACGTAGTGATAATATTTTTGTTGTTATCAAGTTACGTTTGTAATATTTTTTTTTTAAAAATGTTTGTAATTTTATTTTTGTAATATGTAAGCTTGCCAATGCCAAGAAGATAGAGAATTGAGAGGATCAAATTTCCCGTTGAACTGAACTGTTTTTTTGCGAGGGGAAAATCATCAAATGACTTCTCCCGCCCAGGGCCAGGTGGGAGGGAGTGTCAGACTCTTACTGACTAAAAAAAAACCCTGTTTCTTCTCATGCTCTGGGCCGAGGTCGCGGTGTCTCATTGCGCTTACCCCGCAACCCCGGCGGAACATAACCCTATAGGGCCCCGTCTGTGGTGGTCTACTCGGGTACCTGAACTGGTGCGAGCGAAACTATGTGCGGTGGCCCACACGGAACAGGAGAAGGAACGAAAAGGTTTTAGTCAGTAGATAAGTCTGACACAGCGCCTTGCAACACTAACGGCAAGAAAAAATCATCGAATAATTTTACCCTGTGAACAATAACCGCCAAAGGATCACATTTAAACGAATTTATAAAAAGCGGAAGGATAGCTCATGTTGTGAAGATTTTAAAATACAGAATTTAGTTTAGTTTTTTCAGTTACATGCCATTAATGCCGTATTATCCTTTATAAGGTGAACAATGAACCCAAACTTACATAAAATACTGCATTTACCTACGCCAAATTTGTTCGTTTACCTAAACAGTAGGTAGGTAATGTCTGGCTTTAAAAGGATAAGTACCTACTGAAAATTTTAAATGATGTACGTAGCTAGGACCGACTTCTGGCTAAGATGCGCAATACAATACAATGCTTAAGCACCTACAAGAGTATCTTATGGTCTGGTAAAATAAGCAAATGTGTGATTGAGATTGCCAAAATCAGTTTCCTTAAGTCTTTTATGGTGCGCAAGATACCTATGTAGATGCAGATTGCAGGTTGGCAGGAATCAAAATTCTTTCATTCACGTTTCCACATTGATGGCAAGTCTTCAATACAGGAGTACAGTATGGAAAAATGGCCACCACAAACAAAAATTGAGGACTTCCTAAAGTCGTAGTAAGTGTTTGATCTAAAGCAGGCTTTGGAAGGGCTGCGGCCGGCGTATGTTATGTTTAATGTAGAGGGGATGATGGTAGCGATCAGAGAGAGGAAAGAATTCTACACTACCTAGCGTTTCGTCCTTAAACTTTTTAAAGAATATCTTTTTTGCAGTTCAAATAAACTTATGTTAAAATGTTTTATAAGAATGTCAACATAAATGAATAATTTTTTAAAATAGTTACCTACCTATTAATTAAGTAGGTACTTACTTACCTATAGGAAAAATACTATAGTCTCATAAGACGACCTATACTTAATATTTTTACCGTTATAAGATTGGGTTAATTTTAAGCCTAGCTTTACTATTTATCTAGCTAATTAAAAAAGAAACAAGTTTTCACTGGACGAAAGAATATAAATGACGTCACATTTTAGCAATATCATACGAAATTGCAAGCAGCATTGTGTTTCGCCGTGTGAGTGAGATTACCGGAAGCCCAATCCTTCCCCTCCCCATCTCCCTAAATCTCCCAAATCTCTAATCCCCAAAAGGTCGGCAACGCACTTTGTAACTCCTCTGTTGTTGCGGGTGTCCATGGGCGGCACTGATTGCTTACCATCGGGTAATCCGTATGCTAATTTGCTGACCTATCAAATAAAAAAAATTAAAAGAAATGTATTAGGTACTTTTGATATTTCAATAAAAGTATTGAATTTGACTAATTGTCATAATCTCGAATAAAACCAATGATGGTGGTTTATGCCCACTTTTAATTCCAATCTAGATTGTAAATAGTCGATTACCTGGTCAGGAAAAATAATCATAAAAACCGCAACACAACCTCTATGAGCTGTAATAGACAGATAACTGTCTTATTAAATAGTTAACTTTATTGTTATAGACTTGATCGATCGATTTGCTACTGACCTTAATGCACATACAACTGCTAGGTAGGTATGTATTACTATGTATGTATGTAACTCTTTACTCATAATGTAAACGCCACCACATCAAGATAACCCAATCAGTCTTAATTTGCTTTAATTCAATTTCAACTTTATTGCGTATCGGTATGGCAGAAAATCTGTTAATGTATTTTCACGGTGTAGGTAATTTGGTGTTTATAGAAGTACCTAAGTACTTACACCTTGCATGAAATAAGGCTTAATGTTCATCTTTTATTACTATGTTATCTATGTAAATACTATATCAACAACAAGATCCAATACATTATAAAAATACTTTCTAAATGTTCAAGCTAAATCTTATATTTTGAATCCTATCAGTTTGATGAATGGCTAGACGCCGAGAGGTCATTGACCGTTGTACAGCGTGCGCGCAAAAAACAGTGAACTGTTTACCAGATAAAAAGTGAAATAAGGAAAATTGCCACAAATTCTGTAGATAGCAAAAAGTATCTATCTATTTTAATGGTAAAACTAGTATTTTCCCCAATATATACACATAATTAGGTATGTACTTAAAAACTCGGTATTTATTTGTATAAAAAAGAAATATCTGTAGGGTAATATGATAATTAGTACCTACAAATCATGACATTACGGTTTTATTTAGTACATTTTCGATACCCTAATTAATAGGAAGCGAGCCTATTGTCAGACATACTAAAGAAAGTTAAAAATCATTTTTGTTTTTTAAGTTTCCTAAGTCAAATGTCGAGTCTAGAGCAGGAGAATTGGAACAGTGTCATTTTTTTTTAATCAGTAAGTAGGTAACTAACACTGCATCGCATCGCTCAAGCCAGAACCCATCAAATGATTTTTCCATAACAAAAGAATAATCCCTAACTCACCAGATAGACTAACAAATACCCCGCGAAAGGCATTCATCTAAAAATGTAGTCAAAATAAAATAAACGAATTGTTAGTCAACAAGTATAAAGCAAACTGGCGTAAGTAGGTACTACAAAAAATAATAAAAATATTATGTCATTCATAACACAGTATTGTCAATGTACCAACGTTGAAACACAACGAAATTCTTCAAGACAATAGTCGGAAATAATCAAAATCTCATCATTCCGAGAAAATCAAATAAAAATGCTTACAAACATTTGTTTCTGAATGATAAATCATTGAGGATTACACAATGAATGTAGGTAGAAAGTTTCATTTTCATTGCACGTTTTCTATAGCGGGCAACTGATTGCAAGTTTTGGTATAATAATAATATATTTATTTATTTTGCTTATAATGCCCAAAGGCATTCTCTACCGGTCAACCGCAATATAGACTTTATTTTAATATTGAGTAATATCGATAAGAATTAAGAATATTATAATTTATTAACCAGCCCAAAGGATTAGAAAACTGAAGTGGCAGTGGGCAGGTCACATTTGTCGAAGAAACGATGATCGTTGAACGTGTTCTAGAGTGGAGACCACATCTAGGCACACGCAGTGTAGGGCGCCCTCCAGCTAGGTGGACTGACGACATCCGCAGGGTTGGTTGAGAAGCTGAACATCGAGCTCAGTGGCGCGCTATTAGAGAGGCCTACGTCCAGCAGTGGACAACATCAGGCTGATGACGATGATGATAATGATGATGATTGAGTTTTATCGTATAGAATATTAAACTCGGGACGATTGACGAAAATTGTTAATAAAGAATATACGACTTACGTACCTACCTAACTTTCCCAGCAGGCTCGACTAGTTTCAGTCTATGACCGGAGTTCACACATACATGAGTATTAAGCTTGACCATTGTGTATTCTAATCCCACTAACATTATAAACGCGCTAATTTGTAAGTATATTTTATATTGGGTGTTTGTTACTCTTTCAGGTAAAAACTACTAACTCTATTTTCAGGTACACTAAAGGTAAAGTTTGACATTTTCAGAAACTAATACAACATATTATTTGGTTTGCAGATCTCCGTAGACTTCGGGGATCGAGAGGTGATCTCCAGCCACCGTAAGCGCGGGTCTGCGGACGGCGAGCTACCCGCTCGCCGCCCGACTAGAACCAGACCCGAGAGTACGGCGCGCAGCGTTCCGCGCGCGCCTCAAAAAGCCAATAGACCAACACAGACGACGTGGCCCTATAGGGCTGATGTTCAGCCGGGGTTGCGGGGTAAGCGCAATGAGGTACCGCGACCTCGGCCCTGAGCAGGAGAAGGAGCGGGGGGGTTTTTAGTCTGTAACAGTTTGATACTCCCTCCCGCCCGGCCCTTGGCGGGAGAAGTCATTTGACCATTCCCCTCACAAAAAAAATGATTGCCGTAGACTGAAATATAATTGTGTAAAGAAAACGACCGCATTTAGAAATAAAGAGAAAAACTATTGTTGAAGCGGTTGGATCACCGGCTGCATCGCAATGCATTCAAAACTGAGTAGGAATTTATTATTGATATTCTGATTCCAAGAGGAACAGGTTAGTTTTAGTCAGTAAAAGTCTGACAGTCTCTCGCCCCATCTAGTGCGGGAGAAGCCAGTTTATGAATTTAATGTCTCAAAAAAAGTGTGATGTGTTTGCTTTATATACCTACAGCACGGATATAAATCTTAATTTAGGACATTGTCCACCGCGGGGCCCAACATGGCTGATGTTTAGCCGGTGTGGTGGGCCAAACGCAATAAGGTACCTACTGCGGCCTCGGCCTGAAGCAGGATAAGGGACGGGGTTTTGGTCAGTAAGAGTCCAACACTTCCTCTGATTTTTTCTTCCCTCATTTTTTTTTTCCTTATTTTTAATAATGCGTAAATATGGGTATTCCAGTAACGTCTAATAAAATAAATGTAAATAAAACTTCAAAAACTATAAAATAAATATTTATTAGGAGCTCTACTCCACTAATTTATAAAACAAAATGTCATTAGCAGACTGGATTTCGTTCACGCGTAATTTCGTAGCGACTTCAAAACCCAGTCGTGAGTAGAATAATATAATATTTAAAATCACATGTCATGTCAATACATTTTACACCTGATTTAGTATACAATAAAGTCGTTTTTAGTGTAACGTGTATATTGATAAACATAATGAGGCACTTTAATTTAGCATTATTGTAAAGTACTAAAGTTAATAATTATTTACTGCTATAATATTAGATACTGCTATGTGTCATAGGCCCGGATGATTAGTCAGTCTGAAAACAAAAAATTATAATTAGTTTTATTTCATTTATAGTAACTATTCATGTATTCTTTTCTTCTAGGACCTAAAGTAACTACGAATCGGAAATCTAGCTATCGGAATCAAACGGAAAATCTAGCTCATAAATAATGAGATTTCAATATTATCCTCTATTCTATAATAATCCTACTGACAAGTACTACTTCAAGCATTGTTAATGATTATTTAATGGTAAGGTTTTGTCAAATCAGCCCTACCTTTATTGCATTATCGTCACCATTCGCCTGGTCATGCGGAAAGAAGTAGCTTTTCTTCTTCTTAACGAACGTAGCATCAAGATGTCCTCTGGAATGGAACAATACTTTAATTAGTACAATATTATATAGCGAAAATAAACAGCAGTTGTCGATAATAGGTGGGTATTATAGTATGTAAAAGCTTGTAGCTTCAAAGTCGCTCTAGTCCAGGAAAAGCCTACGAAGAGAGAGCGAGAATGTGGTTCAGAAGACAATGGCAATCCCAGAAGGTAAAAGAAGACAACGGCCACTCTTTACCTGGTGGACAAGCAGAGCCAATCTAGCTATTAATTCCCAACTGTCTGTCCCGACAACTAAGACACAGGCCTTGTCGGAAAATGATGAGAAACCTTTGAGATTGAGATGAGAACAAATGTGGGTAGACGCAAAGAGAAAGAATTTAAAACAAGAACCACTTGCCAAATTCCAGAAATGTTGGTACCACGTGATATTTAGTTTCAATATCAAACGTTGCTATGTAACGCCTCTGACATTGCAGATATGATCTTTTTGTCAGGAGAATACTATCAAATGACTTCTCCCGCCCAGGATGAAGAAGATCTATACCTATAAGCTACAGGCAGTTAAAACTACTGTTAAATATAATCCCAATTGCCTTTAGTCACGGCATCATGCGTGAAAGGCTAGGCAAATTTTAATAATTATTTTCATTATTAGGAGAATGTTCTTACGAAAGAGAATTGAAGAAAAGTATAAGGAAACAAGGGAAAGGCATCCCTATTCGTGCCATGGTAGATCGCTTATAAAACAAATGACTGAAATCGAGTTAGCTTGATAGCCGTTGAGTGCCCCGCTAGTATGAAATAAAATAGGCATGTTTGTCCATAATCATCTATCAAACTCTTCCCATTGTTCACATTTATAATTCGAATAAATTTTCTGACTCTATCGCATATTTCGTTAACGGATCTTCTTGCTACATAATCCTATCACAGTACATAGTTCTGCAAATTATAGAAAATAAAAGTATTAAACTAAACTATAAACTATGATTTTCATACTCTAAATACAACAACAAAAGCGCTATAAACTGGCTAGAAATGGTTAGAATGGCTATTATCAATTATGGATCATAACTAATCGCGTCGATGACGCCTATAACATATAATACAGTACTGTAACATCTACGCATTGCAGAACTATGCACTTACAGATGAAGCCATGTTATAGAGTATCCCTCCTCTTAAAAATGTGCCAAATTCCAGAAATGTTTTTATAAAACGAATACTTCTTAGTGTGCCTTCGGAAAGAAGAAAAAAAAAGGTTCGTTACAACATTGTAAACATTTTTTGTAAGAGCATAGTTTGCAATTAATTGGCGAATGAATATATACGCGAAATCCTGTGACTAGGCGTATTAGTGAAAATATGTTTTGAAAAAATCATTTTTGAATTTTACTGCCCAAATGAAAGAGTCTTGTTGGTCGATTTCAACAAATACAACGATATCGAAACTAATTTAGGTCACAAATTACCTCCTATGATTTTTTGAACCAAACCAACCCTAAATTCTGTAACCAACTCATAGTGCCAACTGTATGTCGGCAATGTTTGTTAATGAATGGACTTAATCGAGACACTTGTGTTATGCGCGGCGTTTGCTCGGACGCACCATAAAATACGAAAACGAAATCGACCAACAAAAGCAAAAATTTAATACGCCAAACCATGATTGTGCTAGCAATCAAATGAGCAAGTAACCTCTTTCATCAGGTATTTGAAGATGTTAGATATCACATTGTACTTGGCGGCATCCATGCCATACTGCAGTATATTGTTTGCGCAATACTCAGACATCGGTGCAACACAAGTATTGTATACCAGTAGTGCATACACCCATTTCTGCGTAGAATTATTCGCTACAGGCCGCAATGGGTGGTTCCTTCTTGCTATTTCGTTTTTGACCGCAGACCCGGGTAAGTTTGATTTCGTTGGCATATCTAGTTCTTCTGATGTTTCAAATCTATGGAGTTAGTTCGATTAGATTGGAGTGGGGTTTTCGTAAGACGGTATATGTTTGAACTCACCGCTTGTCGAAGTATGATGGCGGTGTCGTGTCTAGCGATAGCTCGGTGCTTGACGGCTGTGGAAAATTTTATAGTGTTAATTAAAGACATTATAATATTAAGCTTATATTGTATTTGGTTCGCTGTTATTAGGAGATCGGTTAAAATTGTCTAAAAATAGATCTAGGTTAATCTTAAATAGTTCAATTTTAGATTTTCAAATATTCACAGTAAAAACCTCCGCGGAATTTTCTGCCTTTATTTGTTAAAGGGGAAAATCATCTAATGATTTCTTTCATCGAGAAGGCTTGTCAGACTCTTGACTAAAAACCTTATTGCGCTGACATCTGCAACCCTGGCTTCTTTTCTGCCTAGCAGGCTCACCATCAATTTTATTACACTCTCAACATAACTAAATAGGGTATATTTAATACCTACATACAGTTGTTACAATGTTTAAGTCAAATTAGGATTTGATATGAAAATACTAAGACCTTCTAATGACACATCAACACAAGATCCAGGATCCAGCAGTTAATAAATCACACTTTTAGAGAGCTTTTGCACTAAGTCCGATACAAATTCGTAAAAATACAGGTCCTATAGAAAAACTCTGACAGAATACTATGGACATTCTTTTAAAGAAAATAAATGATGAATGACGTATATATGTAATTGTACAACAATGACGGACCATATTTTCACTGTAATCGGACAGACCTGACTTATCCCTGGTTTCCGAAAGGCCGATCAATGTTAAAATCAATTTAATCTCTTGTCAAGTCATCTGATTGACAGATGACTTGACAAGAGATTTAACAGGAGATTAGTTAATTTTAGCGTTGACAAGCCTTTCAGAAACCGAGTGTTAGTGTGGAATCACTCTAACTTTAGAATCCTACATAACATAGAAACAAAACTCACATTATTCTCCTTATCCTCGCTATCGGAGGAAACCCGCCTATTCTTGCAGAGTTCAGGCTGGCAGCGACACGTGGAACCACATCCCTTGTCGGACTTGACGCAGCCGCAGATCTTGGTGGAGCACGAACCCCGGCACGTGCAGTGCGCCGCGCCGTCACTGCCGCGCTTCACGGCGCGAGGTGGCTCTGTGCCCACTGATACGTCTGCTTGCGTGAAATTCATTGTCAGACGGGAACGCTGAGCCTGAAAGATTTATTTTTTATATAGGTTATTCTACATATTATTAAAAATTCTACAAAGAGCATTCTTACAACTTCAGAGTGTGCAATGGGCGGTTTTAACACAAAAGGTGATTTCTTCCAGATATCCTTTGGATGGATATCGATAGAAAGAAATACAGCGCGCGAACGCCGGCGTTCGCTTGGGGGTTGAAGCATTAAAGGTGTAAAGAACTCTTAGGCTTTACATGTTCATTGAGTTATTTTAACCACCATATTCATTTCAATCGTACACTCTTGTCAGAGGGGTTGTGGTCATGTAACGTCCTTGGTGGCTGCCTTTGCGATTTCTCTTCACTTTTTCCTGTTACTGGCATTCCTCGTGCACTCCACAATTGAGCTGGATGTCACTGATTTTATAATGTCCGTCCATCTAGCTGGTGATAGACCACGAGGACGCTGACCCTCTATTCTCCCTTGCACCACCAATCGTTCCATTGGGTCATCGTTTCGAATGATATGGCCAACATTTTAAGAGTTCTTGCTTGCACAATCGAAGAAAGTCTTCTTTTGATGCGAAGCTCTTTTAATATGGAGACATTGGTGCGGTACTTAGTCCAGCTTATCCTCAGTAGTCGTCTCCAGCACCACATTTCCAGCGCGTCTATTCTGCCGCGATCCCTTTGACGAATCGTCCATGAACCACCATATATGTACCAGAAAATAGTCGACAAACAGAAATTCAGACAACAGATTGAACAATTCATACCACAATTATATTTACCTGTATACGTTTAAACAAAGGCGTGGCTCTCCAGTCGGGATCCTTATTCCTGTCCTCAAACTCATCATCTTCCTCGTCAGTAGGCTCCACATACTCAACCTTCTTTACTGATTCCACTTCTTCTTTCTCCTTCTTCGGACGCTTCTTGGCCTTCTTACCAGCTGACCGCAGTTGTTCTAGCTCGTCTACCAACTTTTTCTGAGGATAAAAGACATGCTTTTGTTAATGTTTCGGTATTTTAATAAGGTCTATTCATGATCCTCTTATAAAATGTATTTTTAGTATATAAATTCATGAATAAAATTATAATTCATGATAGTTCTGATCCCAAATAATTTAATATACCCTTTTTATCATATCAAACACCTAAAATAAACTTTTAACTTATAAATTCAAGGTTTCGAATCGAACAAACCCATTCCCTACAAAACTAACTACGACATAAAACGCGCATATGAATCTAAAGTGGCATTTATTCCAAGGGAATAAGGTGTACAATTAAGTTGGCCATACATTTTCCTCCTCGACTTGTTCCAGCCTCTCCTGTTGGTATTGGATTACGTTTTGCAGATGTTTGCAGGCCTCACTCTTGTCCCCTTTGCCGACCACGCCGCGTTGGAGCGCAACTAATGCTGATAACTGTAATTAGAAACAAAAATATAATTAGAAAGATAAAAAAAAATCTCATGTTTGGATCTTCTCCTGTGTCATGGATGCGTTTAAGAACATTCAATTTCATATACACATCACACCCACATCCCGAAAGAACAACTTGTAAATCCCACAGTGGTTCCGTGCGGGAATCGAAACCGCGACCCGGCCACCAAACCAAACGTACAGTCAAAAATGTTGCTCAAAAAGGTCAATGACATTTATTATGAGTATAATACTTTATAAGTCATCATCATCAGCCTATAAGGCCCCACTGCTGAGCAAAGGCCTCTTCTCACACAGAGAAGGCTTGAGCATTAATCACCACGCTTGCTCAATGCGGGTTGGCGATTGAAACTTATAATTAGAAATTATAAGTCCAGGTTTCCTCACGATGTTTACCTTCACCGTATGTCAGTGGTGTCTTAATAATCATAGAAAGTACATATAACTCGGAAAAAGTCACATTGGTACTTGCCAGGTTTCGAACCCACACCCTCCTGCATGAGAAGTGGGCTCATTAGCCTCCGAGCCACCACGACCTTTAGGCCAACTACGGTGAATTCCCGAAGGGTGGCTCTCCCACACTTATGACGTCATATAAAATGTTATACAACCAACCTTTTGTTCACTCTGCAGTTTCACTAGCGATAACTGCCTCTCAAACTCCGCCTTACTATTCTCAAAGTCCATAGCAAGTCTATCGTGAGCCTCCTTGATCTCTTCATATCTTGCTTGGTAACCCTTCTCGCTCTGATTCGTCAGCTCTCTCTTAGCGTCCACCAACAACTCAAATAGACATTTTAGAGCAACTTTTGCTTCTAACATGGATTGAATGTTGTCCCATTGTGTGCGTGATTTGTTTTCTGTGGAAAAAATAAGTCTTTTTTATTATTTGAAGTTTTTCTTTTTATTACCATAAGTTTTTATCATCATGACAATAAGTTCCCGGCGAGGCTTGAAACTAGCCAACCAACCTGATGCACGTTCTATAAGAATATCAAAGTCTAATACCAAAAAGATCGCTTTTCATTAAACTAACGTTAACGTCTGCTAAGAGTATATTAATGGGAACCATGAAAATGATTCCTTGTTAGTTACTACAGACGCTAAAAAATAAATCAACTTACAACTAAGCACGGAATTGAAAACTTAACACCAAAAACCTACCCTAAGTCATTACAAATTAAGCTTTTAGGAATACCAAGAAATCCCACGTCGCGCAATTTTGTCACTAGTATACGATAGTGACAAAAACATATCTAACTCTCGCGCGGTTTCACCCGCTGCTCAGTTCCATTTAGTCGTAGCGTGATGTTGTATAGCCTATAGCACTCAGGAACATTGTAGCTATCTAACAGTGAAAGAATTTTAGAAATCCGACCAGCGGTTCCAAAGATTACCCCCTACATACAAACTTACAAATTTTACTTCTTTATAATATTAGTATAGGAGTATAGATATGGTGCTTGCCCTACCTTGGTCAGCAGTCAAAATCTTCTGTTGCAGATCAGATATCTGCGCCTTACGCAGCGCCAAGTCATCTTCTAATTCAGCAATCTTCTTTCTATTGGCTTCTTCGTCTGTACTGTTACGTAGGTTTTCTATCTGCTCCGTTATCCAAGCTCTGTAAATGTCAATATATATTATCAGTTGAAGAACGTAAGTTATATTTGAATATGTGCCAATATTTGGATGAATGATATGGATGATGTACGAGGAGGTTAGATTTTTTGCCAATGCTGCTAAATCTATTGCTTTTTTGCCTTGAAACAAATAAATTAAATACACTAGTGCACTTTTGCACCGGGCTCCTTAAAAGGATTTCCATACTTAGCCTACCAAAGTCAATGTTAAATAAAAGGCAGCTGTTGAAGAATTCAAATACAGGGTGTAAGGGACAGCCTTCCGCAAACTGATAGGGTGGATTCAGTATATCGTCTTAAGTTGACCGGTACATGAAATTATTTCAGGAACGTTATGGGAATCCAATTAAACCGATTTGTTTCATTACCTTACACGCAATGTATCGCTACCACCGCAAACGCACGCAGCGAACGGCAGCGCTTTTAGTATTATTACTTTACACTATGGGCAGCGCCGCGACCTTACCTTTCGGACAAACGGTCGCGCTCGCGCCACGTTTTAATAACAATAAATTATTATTTACAAGATAGCCGCATTACTTACAAAAGACAATTTAATAATCGCGCTCGCGCCACGTTTTAATATCAATAAATTATTATTTAAAAGATAGCCGCATTACTAACAAAAGAAAATCTAACAATCATAACATGGTAACTGATAAATGATAAAAAAAGAAAAATGCGTAGGTACCTTAGAATCGCTCCGGTTTCCGGCTCTGGAAAGCATTTGTGATGCGGTCTCGCATTTCGTACTCACTTGCACACGCACTCACAAACACTTTTTCTTTTACGTAACCCCACAAAAAGGGGTCCAAATGGGTTAGGTCTGGGGATCGTGCTGGCCACGGTTGCGGTCCAAACCTACCTAAACTACGTTTAAATAGGAAAGCACTGGTAAGTGGTAGCGTCTCGTTACGTTAGCGAACCAATTCCAAAATCCACGTAGGTATTGGTCTTCTGGCGCCTTTTTGTCTGGGAACAATGGGCTGGTTTTCTAGCAAGCGTTGATAGTCAACAGTAATTATCCTGGAATCTGATGGATGCCGACGGTCAGGATACCTACACTACTACAACACATTATCATCTCCCCATAATCACGCGCGCTAAACGTACCTATGTAGTAATTTCGCACAATTTCTACAACAAAACTTCACTACACTTCACAAACTACATAACTAATAAAACTTAACAACACTACTTATAACAAAACTTTTAAGCCGAATGCGCGAGCGATCCGTCCCGACACACGCTCGCGGTACACAAACAATAACATCGCAGCAAGGCACAATGGCGACTGCATGTGATGAGACACACACAAACATAAATCTGTTGTTGCCAATTACACGAAAATTAAGTACAAAATTTCGGGGTAAAAAATAAAAAATTATGCATGGTCGTAATTTATCATTCTGTTATTTTTTGTAGAGAAATGAATTGATTAAATCAATTTAATTCTAATTTCATTGTTTAGTTAATTTAGAATAATAAAAGTGCAGTGTGATAGAAAGCTGTGCTTCCATTCCAGGGAGATTGTGTTTAATTTCTGGCTCGACTATCAATTCATGGCTATTGTGAAGCCATGTAAAAATCTGTAAGTAGTTTAAAAACTAGCCAGTAATCGCTTAAAAAGAACAATCAATTAATAAATTAGGTAGTATTTGTAAATGCTTTAAAATTAAAACTAGACTAATCTTTATTTATTTCTTATTCAATTTATGTGCGCGACAAGATTTTCATTAATTGATTAATGAAAATCTCATCAATGTGATTATGAATGCAAAGGAGTTCTCAAGTTTTAGATAAATTTCGATAGTTCTAACTTTTTCGTTTACGTAGAAAGAGAGAAAGGTAGAAGAGGTAACAAAAGTTAAAAGTTGGCAACACTGGTTCAATCGATAGAAAGGGACGCAGCTATTCTGTACGTTGGACGGGATCGTAGGTATACCTACGGCGGCGCGGCGATCGGCGCGGTGGGGCGCCGAGCCGATGCGCCGTGACCGCGGTGCGGTGAGTTCAAACGACTCGCGCTAGGTAGAAATTGAACAGCTGATTTCATGCGTAGTTCTTTAGAGAATTCACACAACCATTGCGTATTTTTTTGTTTTAGCTGTGTTATTTACATTAATGTTATTCTTCATACATAGAATGTAATTATACATTGAAATAGAGGTGTAGGAACTGAAAAAACGAAAAAAAAATTGAAAATTTTCCTGAAAGAATTTTCACTGGAATATGATTCAGAATAAGGAGCTGAATGCACCCTGTTAATTTGTGGAGGGCTGTCCCTTACACCCTGTATAATATAATATATTTTTTTTTATAGGATGGTTCAGCAACTTTGCAGACTGATTGCCTGATGGTAAGCAATCGGCTCTGCGCATGGACACTCGTCGGTAATTATTAGGGATTTAAGGATAGGTTATTTGGGGGTTGAGGATGGGGGACGTTTGGCTTAGTCCTCCCGGGATTTGGATAAAGTAAGGATCCCATCTCCAAATAGGTACAGTATGTTTAAACCTTTTCGTTTGTTCAATGTTATCAAAAACTAGTCTTAATAATTAATAAATAAACTTTGTTAAGTGTGGGAGCGCCATGCTTCGGCACGAATGGGTCGGCTCTACCGAAGCGATACCACGGCTTCACAGAAAACCGTCGTCAAACAACCACAGCGTTGTGTTTCGCCATGTGAGTGAGGTTACCGGAGGCCCAATCCTTCCCCTTCCCCAATCCCTCCCCAGTCCCAAAATTTCCAAATCTCTAATTCCTAAAAGGTCGGCAACGCACTCGTAACTCCTACGTTGGGGATGTTCATGGGCGTTGCTGATTGCTTACCATCAGGTTATCCGTCGGCTCGTTTGCCGGCCTACTACATAAAAAAAATTTACACCAAAAGGGTTGACACTCATCCATTATATCCTAATATCATCTCTTTAACCAATATATTTTTGTTTCATCTAAAACTGACCTGTACTCCATTAACTCTTCTAAAGACTTCTCAGCTTCCACAATACTGAGGTGTACTTCCAGCTCTTGTTCAATGTATTGCTGTACTGCGCCCGCCTTCACGCTGCCTTTAGCGTTGCGCTTCATCTGAGAGAACTTCTGCCTTTCTAGGGCTTCCTGTAGTCGAGAAAAAGGCAATGGGTACTTTGCATATTGAAATCACATTTTCAATGTTGCTGAGCAAACTATAACATTTTAAAACAGAGTTTATATTTTATTAGTTGATTCTGGATCTGTACCAAAATTACTAATTTATGTTGTATGACTTACGTCATTAACTTTTTGATAATATATCTCGACTAGTTTCGAGCAATGTCTGGGGCCCATAATCATAATTAAGGATTATAGCTAAAAGTAATGAAGATCTTGGCATCATACCTTAAGCCTCTTATTAACAGCGACGGCTTCCTCCATTTTCCGTTTGAGGACATTCTGTTGCTTGGCATGCAGAGACTCCATCTTGGCCATAGCAGTGGCACGCTTGCGATCTTCGTTGCGCAAGCGCAGCATCGCGCGTTCATTGTCCGCCTTCCATTTGCGGAACTTCTCGCTTTCCTCGCGCATTTGTTTTATTATTTTCACCTGGGGAAATATATTGGTTGATTTATTACGCAAAAAAAATAAACGCAAAAATTATTACGATTCAACATTATCAGCCCATAAGTGCCCACTGCTGAACAAAGGCCTTTTCAAATACGGAGACGGTAAGAGCATTAATCACCACGCTTGCTCAATGCGGGTTGGCGATTTCAAACTTATAATTAGAAATTATAAGTCCAGGTTTCCTCACGATGTTTACCTTCACCGTATGTCAGTGGTGTGTAAATAATCATAGAAAGTACATTATTACGATTAAATTCAAGCTACGCTGGGGGCTGATTATTAGCAGCATTGAGGTACAAACGACTCAGTAAACAGTAGCACTGCCAACTAATGTACCTACTGTTAATAATACGTCTCACAGTAGTTATAACATTGTACTCAAACTGACGAATCAGAGAGGGGGTTTGTGTTTCCTAGAGTGTAGCCGAAAAGCTAAGTGTCTTCAAGTCCCAAGTAAATAGGATGCTAGGTAGGAAGCTGACGAATTTAATTTATGCACACGGCATTTCCTAGCGGTGCGTCCGTATTGACCGGTTTTTTGCTCTAAACCACATACCTAATCCGAAAGAACCATCATTAACTGATCCAAATATCGGTTTAAAAGCCGGTTCACCACGTCAAGTGTATAATAGCGGTTTGAAAATGTTACCGTTATCTGAGCCTTGTTAGCCATACCTTTACGTGATATTGAAACAAACATGTACTAGCAATTAAAAAACTTCTATATATGGTTATACTACCTCATACCCGCGGCGTCGCTCCCGTCATTTGAGTACCTAGCCTACTCTACCTTCCCTACTCTATGTACCCTACTTTACCTACCCTACTCCACCTACCCTACTCTACCTGCCCTACTCTACCTAACCTACACTACCTACTCTATCCTATATCCTTCTCCTGGCTCTAAACTACTTCCCTGCCAATTTTCAGCTATATCGGTTCAGCCGTTCTTGAGTTATAAGTGGAGTAACTAACACGACTTTCTTTCATGTATATAGATAATACCTTAGTAGCCTTCATAGCCTGTAGCTCAGCGTTCAGCGCGGCTATCTTAGCCTCATTCTTCTCTTTAGTCTTGATGATGTGAGCTTGTTGCTGGCAAGTCTTCTTCAGCTCGGAAATCTGTTGTTCTAGGCTTGAAACCTTAGTACGACGCTCCTCGTGAGATGGGTCCTTGCTCTGTAATTTTAATAATATTATATTTTGAATAATGTTGTGCTTTTTTTTAGTTCCGACAGATAGTTTAATTTTAAATGTGATTTTTGTGAGAGATAAATTCAAAGTTTACCATAGAAACAATGGGAATAGGTATATAAAATTATAAAATGTGAAAGTATTTATTAAAATACTGAAGGATTTACTCAGATACATTGTGGTGGAGTTGTAATAGATCAATAGCTGCATAAAATGAAAACTATACATGATACATTAAGGTCTCTGCCTAATAGTAGCCAAAAATAATAAAGACAATTGAAATTATTTAAGTTAATTCCCTGAAGATTGTTGTGGAAAAAATCCCTAAACTATCTGGCAAAAACTAAAGACTTTCTCTTACCTTAGTCTGCTTCAACTGCTGCAATAGCTCATCTCTTTCCTTCTCCAAATGAGCAATCTTCTCCTCATTCTCTCGCAGATTCTTGTGGTTCTCCAGCATATCCTTGTTGTTAGCCAGTATAGCTTGAACCACGGACGCCTTGATCGCCATAGCGCGATTCAGCTCTTGAAGTTCTTGGTTAAGAGCCACCTAAAAACAAAGAAATTTTAATAGTAAGATAAAGAAAATTTGAATAATAATGAAACAAGCTTTAAAAAAGTATTAATACTAATTTAGTCTTTTTTTTGTCAGGGGATTAGTTTCTCAGGTAAGAGAGAGAGTGTCAGACTCTTACTGACTAAAGACCCCCTTGTTCCTTCTCCTGCTCTGGGCCGAGGTCACGGTGCCTCATTGCGCTTACCCCGCAACCCCGCCTGAACATCAGCCCTATAAGGCCCCGCCTGTGGTGGTCTATTGGCTCTTTGAGGCGCGCGCGGAACGCTACGCGCCTTACGGTCGGGTCTGGTACTAGTCGGGCGGCGAGTTGCCCTTACTCGCAGTCAGCAGACCTGCGCTTACGGTGGCCGGAGATCATTTCTCGATCCCGACGCCCAAAATGTCGCCTACTGCGGCGGCTGGGGCGCGAGGAGGATAGTTCCCACAATACTGAATGTAGTCTTGAATCATGAGTGTTTAAATGTTTTGGGGAACCATAGAAAACTTAAAATTACTATCTTGAATGGCTAAAAAGAGTGTACTTTAGTGTTTTATTCTTCCGATATGAAAGAAAGTTTGTGGCTGTAAGATATTATAAAAAATCATATACCTAATAGACCAGCAACTTCTATCTTTCGATGTTGCAGGTTTCCATAAGTGTCGCCGAGGCTTACTATCAGATAAGTCTGCTTTAAAAAAACAAACAAATGTAAATTTCACCATACCTGTCCCATTGCTCTCTTCTCTTCCTCCAGGACAGCTTGGTCTTCATTCAATGGCATTTCATCATCCACCTTTTCATGATCACCATCATTGACGAATGACAACTTAATCTCATGATCAATCAACTCTTCATTGGTCTTCAAGTTAACAGACTGCAGGTCTTCCAAACGACACTTAATTTCTTTCAAATAGTCCACAACTGTTGATTTCTGGTGTTCATCGTCTTTATCTGTGGTATTCAAATTCTCTATGGTCTGGTTACATTGCTCTGTGAGCTCATTTAGTTTGCGTTCTATCTTGTCCTTGGCTGCTTCAGCTAGTAGAGCCTTTTCGCAGAGGTTAGTATTTTCTATCAACATGTTACTGAGATGTTCAGTAACTTGTTTATGCTTTTTCAACAACTCCTGGTATCTGGCTCGTTCTCTATCCAATTCTTCTTGTAGTTGTTCGTTGTTCTGTTCAGAGATTGTCGGCATTTTGCCTAGTAATTGCAGTCTTAGCTCATTTACGAGGTTGTTCAGCCTAAAAATAACGAAAATGTTTCCCTTAAATGTTGAAAGCCCTTGCAGCCAAAGTAAGCAGCTAGTGTTGAGTCCATTCAACAGACATTTGTAAATCTCTATGTGATGGCCACAATCACAACTATCAGGATTTTTTGAGGTCTATATCTGGGTTTGGTAAATGGGCAAAATTATCAAATTCCACAATAATAATAGTATCATAGAATCGCAACTTGTTAATGGCAAAAGGCTAACCAGAAAACACATACTTATTTCCCAACCCCGGCCCCCATATGAGTAGGTAAGAAACAATGGATTCTGACATAATGACTGCATCAATCATGCAGTTGAATATGTTATATTTGCATATGGTAGAGTTGCGAAACTGGTTGCCGCGTAAACTAAAGATGTGTGTGTGAAACATCTCACATAAACATCACACTCAGAACTGCGAAGTACGAACGAACGTACGACCCTGGAGAAATTTCTAGTGTGAGGCAAAATTTGCGAATAATGTTGGAGAAATAACTCCGTAACTGTCATAATGATTTACAATATACATACCGAACAATCTCAGCGGCTTTTGCATCCTGGTTAATGATAGGTTTGTTGCGTATCCTCCGAGCGCGGTCAGCGTACCGCAGTGTGGAGACAGTCTCGTCCAAGTTATAATCAGCAGGGCTTACACACGCCACCATTAGTGTTAAGGAATTACCGCCTAAACTGTCTGTTAGAGGAAATTGTTTATTAGATTGATCAGCGTATTTCTACCTGCGGCTGAATAGGAGTAACTATCAGTGCGTAAAATTTAATGAAGCTTAAATGAACAGAAAACAAAATGCCATCGTCTGGAATTTTCGAAAAGCAATAGTTAGCTAACCGTCGATTTGCCGATGTTAAGAATAAAATTAAAATGGATCAACAAAAAAAACATTTTTGTTCAAGACTTATAAAACAGTATTAAATGACTTCAAAATAAATAAATTCTTACCTTGTAACAATCTCGTAAGTTTACTATCTCTGTAGCTGATGAAACTCCTGTTGGTTCCATCTCCTAAAGCTGAGATCACATTGCCGAGCGCCAGTAAACCTTGATTGATCTTAACGCCTTCCCGAAGCCGCTCACCGCTCGCTTTCGTCTTTTTTATACGTTCAGACCCTGCTAAGTCTACCAGGTGGAACTTTGAAGTGGTTGCTAGGTTTCTGTAAAGAAATTATGTTTTGTAAGTTGGTTATCTGGTTTTTTTTAGGGAGCAGACGGTTCTCCGATCAACGCCGCCGCCGCATATCGAAACCCGTAATAACAGAAGAGTTATAAATGCATTGGCGGCTAGTAGCATTCCTTTTTAAGTTACTTATCTGAAAGTTATGTTTTTTTATTGGGAGATATTAATTAATCGTGTGGTTAGTACGTCTTTTAAGAAAAGGCCTACCTATCGATCCGTCTCGAAGGACAAATTAAGCTTTAAAGGTTCAAAAATCCAAATAAATTCTATCGTAAATATTGCAAAGGTCAAGAGAAACCAGATATGTACAGAAATAAATATACGTAAGATAGGTACTATATTGTCTCCAACAACTAAGTAGGTCGCGTCAATTGATTTTAATTAGTACTTGGTACTGGCAACAGATCAAAGGAGATCTTGTCCCACTATATTTAAGCTTATTGAATTTGAAAGTAACAAGAGTAATATATTTAGTAATGGCAATAATAAAACTTCTTTAACTTACAAATTCATCTATGGATGGAATTGAAGAAATGGAACATTTAATTGTTACTGTTATGAGTAATACAAAATACTTACTTATCAGTCCTACTTTCTTTACAAATAACTATAGTGAAGACGGCGTGACTTCGGCTGGAGGCCTGGTTCATAGCAGTCGATCCTGTCACACGGCCAGACGATCCTCGCTCCAACACCATCATGGTCTCCATAGTTGAAGTCACTGGAAGCTCTGTTATACCTGGGAAACAAGAGTATTGAATCAAATGTCAATTTTATTGATATTTTGTGCTATAGCCGGAACACTCCCCAAAGTATCACCTGATGGTAAGAAATCAAGACCGCCTATGAATTCCTGTGGAGTTATGAGTGTGGGACTGGCAGAGAATTATAAGTTTTCGCAAAAACTAGACATGAGAGAGAAATTAACTCTTATACAACTACATACATTATTGAATAGAATTATCAGTACAAAAATTGATAGGATGTAGACCTTCATCAGGAATTCCAAAAGTATTATGTTATGTATGTATCAGAAATAGAAACATAATGGGCCTTGGTTTCCCATTGTTGCTTCAGACATCCATTGACTGACAAAAGAGAATGGACCAGACTGAAAATAACAGTGATAAAACGTTAGAGATCCTTACCTGGCAGAATCACCCCCTTATTAATATCCTCCCTAATCTCTATAATACTGTGTCCCCTCTCCTTCCCTGAGAGCAGGTCGTAGCACTGTTCCTGATACAGCTCCATAAAGGAAACATTCACTTTGAATATAAACTTGTCCTCATGTGTCTCGATGAAATCAAATATGTCTGCCACTGCTTGGGGGATTACACCTGGGGACAGAGAAAATACATAATATCAGTCATATTAATTATACTTTAAGGAAGTTTGTGGTGTGATGTTTATAGTATAACATCAGTGTGACAATATTACTTGCTGAGCAAAAGCATTTTAAATACAGAAAGCATTAGAACTCAATCACAAAATTTGTTTACGGCAGATTGGCGAACTGAAAATAATAAGGCATGGTTTCTTCAAAATGTTTTCCTGTGCCATTAGGCAGCACTAATACAAAATACAATTATATTCAGAAGCTGAAACTTTGAATATTTAACAAGTTCTATATCATTATTCTATATCAGCTAATACCATGACTTTGTGCAATTCCATCATACCATAAAATGTTCCAGTGCAGTATGGAAGAAAACACATTCTTTTAAATTCATAATTTAAAGGAAACACATACATACATGTATAAAATTCTTAAGTAGGGATCAGGTAATACTGTTAAAAAAATACAATACCCAGTTTAGTAGAATCACCATCAGATCCGGAATAGTTGGTTCCCATAGTATAAGTCTTGCCAGAGCCTGTCTGGCCATATGCTAGTATTGTTACATTATATCCTGAAAACGACACAAACTTATGTACTTTTGAACTTTTGTTAATAAAAGTCTAAATAATTTCAGTCTTTATACTTACACCCGGTTTCTAAAAGGCTTGTCAACACTAAAATTAACTAATCTCCTGTTAAATCTCTTGTCAAGTCATCTGAATGGTTGTTGATAATTCAGTCAACCAATCAGATGACCGGACAAGAGATTAAATTGATTTTAACACGGATCAGCCTTTCGGAAACCAGGTGTTAGTGACTGAGATGGACGGACATTATAAAATCAGTGACATCCAGCTCAATTGTAAAGTGCGTGAAGAATGCCACTAACAGAAAAAAGTGGAGAGAAATCGCAGAGACAGCCACCAAGAACATACCATGTCCACAACCACTCTGACAAGAGTGTACAATTGAAAAGAAACTTAGTGCTAACTGAGGTCTGTTTCACCATTCTTCATAATATATAAAAACTTGATAAAGTTGGCCAAAGCTCATACATCCCATATTCTTTAACTGGTATAGTAAAATCATGGCAAAAGGAAATTATAGTTACTAAAACGTACCCACTTCTGGTCAGTAAGTAGTCATAGGGGTAATTCTTGTAAGAATCTTTGTAAATATTTGTATTTCATTATTCAAATATTATGAGTCTCTGGTGTTTTATTTTTTATTTTTAGGTAGTTTCAAGCAAGCGAGAAACTTTATTCAAAAAAGTTTAGTTTATAATGCAGGAGAGAAGTTTTATTAATACATTTAAAATTTGTTGATATTTTAAGTTTTGTTCTAGTAAAATTACATAACTATGAAACTACTGTAAACTTTTCTAAAAGAATATTCATGTAAATTGGTAAACAATACTTACCCTGAAAGAGTTTTCCAATAAGACCTTTGACGGCAGTGTCATAGAACTCTTGCTGCGTGATGTGTTGAGGAAATACATAATTATATGTGAAAGCCAAGTCTTTTATCTGGACCTGAGGCTGCCCAGCAACCACATCAATACACTCTTCACATCCCCTATCAGTCTCCAGTTGCATTAATGGCCTAATTCTAAGTGCAACTTGCACTGTGTCAATGGTCCCCTTACTGTCTCCTTCCACCATTTTGAAGTTGTTATGTTATTGGAAAAATACACCTCTCCCTCCTACTTCATCAACAAAGCTCGCATATCCCTCAATTTCCGGGTTTTTCGGCAAATCAGGGAATTGTCAGTTGTCAGGTTTAAATTTTTAAGTCCAGTTTGTGGCTTCTAGTTTTGTGTAGCCTGACATTGGTGACAATTTCTGCAAAAAGGTTTAAACACAGTTGAAACGTTATCTTCAATCTTTTATCTTAGTTCTACTTTAAATTAACGATGTCTAGAATGAAATGCTTTCAAAAATGTTTATAACAATTTCTAACAACGATCTTTGAGTTTACTAATATGCGACCGAATCATATACCGTTTTAAACTTACCGTAAAGCTTACAAAGCAAAACTATACACATAAAGCGGATGAAATATCTGTCTTTGTATTAACTTATTATTTTGTAACAGCACAAATCACGACAAAAAACGTTTAAAAATACAACGGTTCAAGAGCAACGACATATTCAAATTTAGGGTTACCCTACGGAATAATTCTGCAAAATATATTTTGTCTATACCTTATGTGACTGGCTGGCAAACTAAATATTTTTTGGGACCAGCAGTTCCTAAGGGCAAAAACGAGAATCCTATTAATAATAATTCTATCACAATTATATCCTAAGACCACGGAATAGAACAATTTCAAGGACCTTTGGCGCTTTTAAGTTCCCCTTATTTAATTCCAGGTCCAGGTTTTTTATCTTGTTTTCCTTCATTTCCGGTTGTAATCTTCCTTTTTTGTGGCGATAATCTTAGAAACTAGTTTTGTAGAATTAATGTAACTTTGTAAATGTCATAGATTTTAAATCCCGCGTGCATGACAAGTGAACCTGAACACCATGTCAAATAAAAAGATAAAATTCAACAATATGAAATCATTTTCATAATAAAGTTCTAAATATTTTTATTATAATATTATTTATTATGTTTTCGGTTTACTCACGTAATAATTTGACGACATACTCGACTAGTTTCAAGCCATGCTAGAGGCCCATATTTTACAGAAAATACTAAAATGTAAAGGTCGTAAAATTTACCAAAAATAACATTCAAGAGTTCAAGACTATTTTGTCTATGGCGATATCCATTAGTACATGTCATAATTAGAGCTGTCAAAAAAACGAGCGAAAACGAAAGAAAGTTGTACACATTGCGACATATTTTTGTGTGGAATTGTGAATATTCAATTAATAAGAACTTTAAAAGTGATCAAAACCTATTAATTTACTTACTTACACATAGTTTACATATAAAATTGTTTTGTAAGTGTCCAAATTCGAAAGTTAAATGTTTGTTTTTACATAGCGTCATGCCCCCGCGAATCAGAACGAGAGCTTCAAAAGCTCTCAAAGAAAATATTGATGTTACGGAAACTAAGAAGCTTGTTAAAACTAGTAACAAGGGACCTCGAAAAGCTTTAGCTGACAAAACAAACTCTGCATCAGATGATGGGTCATTAGAAATCCCGACGAAAACTAAAAAAACTAACACGAAACCTTTGAAGACAGGTCCAAACAAGAATGGACAGAAGAAGAGGATTGAAACGAAACAAAAAGAAAGTGCTGTGCAACCGAAAGATAATGTGCCTACAACAAATGAAGTGCGACCACGTCGTGACAGACGTTTACCAAATCGGTTTGTCGAAAATACGATCTTGAATAATTTGTCAAACAGTAAGGAAAGTGCAAATGTGACACTCGGCAGTCCTTCGACTAATTTCAAATCGGACAATACACCAGTAAAAATAGACGCTTTATCAAAGAACGAGGCAGAAACATCTCCCTTTCAAACTCCAGGTAAAGCTGAAAGTAGTTTACTTGCTAACCGTCCCAGGAGGATTTGCCGCTTGCCATCTCGCTTTGATGATCAATTCATAAGCCCTAACAAGTACATTCCAATACAACCAGCAAATGCCAGTACTCCAATACAATTATCTAAAGCAAAACCAGTTGTGATATTAATTGACAATATTAGTAGAGAAAACATAGATGAGATAAAAACTCCTGATAAAAAACCTGTAAGTAAAGCTAGGCCCACTAGATCTGCAAAAAACACTCAACAAAAGGTATCTACTGAACAAAAACCAGCTAAAAGTAGCCCAGATACTAACAATAATCCTAAAACTAGATCAACTAGAAGAAAAGTTGCTAAAACTCAACCTAGTATTGAAAAGGAGCAAAATAATCCTTCTAAAAAGGTTAATAAAACTCAACAATCAACCACTAAAAATGAATCCCCACTTAAAAAGAGTCCTACAAATGTAAATCAAAGCATAGTGAACTCTAATGCATCTTCTATAAGGAAATTCTTAACACCTATGGCAAAGTTCCCAATATTACCTAGTAAAAGTATATCATCCAAAAAGAAATTAAGTCCTAAAAAGCCTTCTAAGGCAAGCCAAAATGTATCATTCAAATTGCTAGGAAGCAAGAAAAGTGGTGAACAGCATGACAATGAAAATGAAAATGATGGTGACATTTACGAATTTACATTTGACCCTGACGAAGAACCTAAACCTCAAAAGAAAAAACGAAAAAAGGTTGTAACAAAGAAACCTCCCACTGTTGTTGCACCTAAACCGAAAAAGGTAATATACAAGAGCAGTTATGATCAGAACATTTCAAAAGCTCTGGCAGCATTAAAAAATGCTGTCAACCCTTCAAAAACTACAGAAACTAATAATCTACCACAGATAACTGAGAATAGTGGTGAAATTGCTGAGGAAAATCATGTACAAAATCATGTTGCTAATATTGAAAAACAAGTACAAATAAACAATGTAACGAAAGAAAATAATCCTTTAAATGATACTGGCAAAGCTTCTGAACATGGGTTTAATTACCCATCAATAAGGGTGGAAGACATTGCTGCTGATATAGAACCAAGCATGGATCATCATCACCATGATGATTTAAATTACTCACCTGTAAATTCACCAAGACCAATCAATGGCATAAGTACTCCTAATGCTTCTGCTAACCCTAGAGCAACACTAGAAAGATCTTCACACAATGATCCTCTCAACTTGGCAGAAGAACTCAGTTTCTTTGATGAACAGCCTGTAGCTAGCAGCAGCATGAATATGTCCGTCCGCCATCCAATGGCTAGTCCATGGAGAGTCGAATTTGGAAGTCTACCCATAAAATGGCGAGTAAATGCTTATGTTAAACCTAACATGACACCAGCAGTGGAAACTTCCTTTATTAACCCGGATGATTCTATGAAAAAGAAACATGTGTATACTAATTTATTATCAGAAGCAAATGATGAACCAGAAACAGTTGAAACTGCACAGAATCTGAAACAACCTAGTATAATTTCATTTATAAAAGAGATGGCTGAAAAAAGTGCTAGAAAGAAACGGGGGAGATCCAAATCTGTGTCTCCAACAAGAGCTGCTTTAAAAGAGAACGTTAATAGAAATGAAAATGTGAATAAGAGACCTACAAGGATAGAAGATGGAGTAAATAATGATGCTTCTGGACAAAGCAATAACACTTCTGAGGAGGTATCATGTGGAAATGACATATCTCATGATAAAGAAAACTCAAGAGAAGAGAAGAGACCTAAAAAACGCAAGAATAATGAGAACATATGTAGTCTACCAGCAAAATCTCCTAGAAAGCAAAAAGATAAGGACTGCACATTCTTTGGTTTTGATGATAGTGAAAATCAGGATGAGAATGAGTCTCCAGTGAAGGTTGCTCCTAGAGGTAGATCTTTGAGGGCTAGGACAAAGACTGTACTGAAAGAAATCAACGGGCCATTAAGAGCTGAATTACCAGTTGCAGCGAAGACTAAGATAGCTACAAGCTCTGAAGCAGTGAACAGAGTATATGAGGAGATGAAATCTGCTGCAGATGCACCGGTGTTCCCTGAAAAGGATGTGGAGGCCAATGAAACAAATGTTGAGGAGCCAGTGATGAATGATGACTCACAGTCTGTACATTTGTTTGAGGATATAGAAGTTGTACATCATTTGAAGGTGAGCATACTAAATTTGAATTATGATACCAATTTTTCTTTTTCTTTCAAAGATTAGGGTGTCTTGAAATTTCTTTAGTGTCATATTTGTTAAGATGTTTAAGTCATTTAATGCATGATAATTATTGAGTCATAATGATTCTCTGTTATCACCAATATTGTCCTTACTATTTCCAATTTCTCCTTTCTTTCTTTCTTTAGAAAAAACATTGCTTACTCAAGGGTTATCTCTTGTGTTGTGGGTGTGTTTACATACACACCCACGCTACACTACAACCACACACACACACACAAATCTTGTGGATCACACAAAGTGTTGTTCCGTGCGGCAATCTAACCCGCGACACATTGTACAGCAGCCGGTTGCCCAGCCACTATGCCAACCATGCAACTGTTCTAATAAATTCTTTCAAAAATTTTCAGCCACAGCGCAAGAGTTATGGAAAGTCCAAGAAAGTAACATTCCGGCAACCGTCTAATTCAGACAGTGATACTCAAATGTCAGCTGCGGTTGATTCTAATGATTCAGATTATGATGACCTTGGAGACCTGACCTTTGAAATTGCGAATGTGGAACAAAAGAAGAAAGTTATTAAAAAGAAAAAGCCTAAAGGGCTGATGTCTAAGAAAGAGGTAACTATGATTTTTATTTATAAATACAATTTGATCTATTTTTTTATGAGGTGGAAATCATTAAATGGGACCTTTATACTGTGCCTCAATTAACATTGGTAAATAGATAAAAAGGAAAAAAAATACTATGCATTGTGGTGCAGTCATTCATAGTCCAAGTGAACCCCCAAAATGTATACCACATTTTGGGGGTTCACTTGTAACAGAGGTTATGATTTTCCTAAAATAGAAAATGTCCTAATAATGAATTCTTGTCTTTTATCCTAATTGTATTACTACCTTAAATTGAGTTGATCACTTTAATAATAAGAAATGAATCAAACAGTTGACTTATGTGCTTCTTTTTTAAATCACATTTTTGAAAACGAATTGTCTTTTTTCCAGGAAAAGGAAGCAGAGGAATGGGCTGCAAAATTCAATTCAATGTGTGAAGACATAGAGAAGTTCCCTCTCCTTGTCGAGTGAAATCACCACCTATTAATCATGACATTATTTTAATTTTCAAATTATGTAAATTAATCGTAATATTTAACTTTTAAATACTCATTTCTTGAGGAGAAAGTGCAATTTTCGCACACCTACTTACAAATTATAATGATATCTCGATTTAACAATAATGAAAAGGCATTTTTTTTACAATATTAAATTAGTGTCTTGTAATATTATAATTCTTTGTTCTTTTTGTAAATAATCTGAATTTAATTTATAACATAGTTCTAATATTAATTTTAATTATAAATATACAAGTACCTCAAAAGGAAAAATACTTTTCGTAATCTAATCAAGTTGCAATTGTGGCCATTGGTGTATTTGCCATTTTATTTTATCGAGTTTGACTACAACATGACATTTTTTGTAGATTTTAAGTTTTAATTAGAATATTGTTTTAATTTATACACATTATGATTGGCAATGCTCGTGACTTAAAACTCATAACTGCTTAGCAGTAACTTCATTTTTTCGAGTAATTCTTACTACTAAGTTAGCCGTATTTTGGGACTGGCTAAGTACCTATACTCCTAGAAGTCTTTGGAGAAATACAGTCGTGAATATCTCCCAAAGTCGCTATTGTTGCCAATAATAATGATCGGGAATTTTAATTATGATAATTAAGCTGCGTAATTTTACAAAGGGACCATAATATAAGCAAAATGCATTTAATGTTAAGTAAGTTTTACCTCATAGAATCCTTTATTAACGGAATTTAAGGCAAACAAGCTGGATTTTAAGATTTTAAGTGAATTAAGAATTCTCATACTTGCATTTTATGATACTGAATAATGATTTTAAATTTGGTCTTTAATCTTGTGGGCAATTTTTTGTTATTTTATATTCGTAAATTGTTTTATGTTCGTTCTGTAAACTCTTTTTATTTCTGTTGCTCAGATTATTATTTTTATTTTTTGTGTGACGTAATGCTGGCGTCTATATTCTGTTTGCCCTGGAGACATTACTTGATACTTTAATAAATAAGATTTTTAACAATCCTGGTTTCATTTTTATCTGTATCTGTAAGCTAGCAGTTTAACAGACCGGCAAACGAGCAGACGGATTACCTGATGGTAAGCAATCAGCGCCGCTCATGGACACCCGTAACAGAGAAGTTACAAGATCTTTGCCGACCTTTTGGGGATTAGGGAATTTAGAAATTTAATGATTGGGGGAGGGGTATGTTCCATGGTATCACTCCGGTCAAGCCGACCCATTCGTGCCGCAGGATGGCTCTCCCACACTTATTTTAAGTAGTGTATATACATATGCTATTAATGTATTATTGTTGTACACTTGACGACCATATTTCCCATCATCATCACTGGCTCCATCCAAAGGTTGTAAGAAATTGCATCGATAAGACCTCCCATTGCACATTTATATCTCAAGCTTTCCTATACTTTTATGATATAGAGTAAAATGTAAAGAAAAAAATAAATAAGCTACGTGCTCCTGCCCCTGTAGCTATATACCTTTGTGGGTAGATATTTTGAGTACTAAGCCAAAAATTTTGGTTGGTTCCCAAAATCGTTTTCAATCTTCGAAATATTCGAATTTATAATAGATATGAATTATAACAGTTACTAATGTAAGGTAAGACAGTATATCATATCGTCTACTTTATAAGAACAATGTCGGCTTCTTTTGTCTGCATAAGAACTAAAAATATTCCAGTTCTGATGTCGTTTCTTTCTATATTCAGCCGAATTCCGTCTTTAGATATTGTTTACAACTTAATTAATTTATGTACCTACATTTATAAATATTGTTTGTTGAGCATCCGCTTCTGACTTCCGCTTCTATTGGGGTAAAATTCTGCTGAACTATATGGTAACACTGGAGGTTATTATTTAATCCAAGATAGATGGCGTTACTGGTCAGGACGTTACAGGAGCGGTGTTTGATGTTAACTTAAAATAACAGGTGGCGCTACTAATAGCTTCACCAAACTGAACCAATTTAATTTCAGATCAAGCAAATAGGGAACAATTTTAGGGCAACCAACATATACATTACCCGCATGTTAATGGTAAAAGCTCTATTAATAGCTGTGTGGTACAAATTCGAGAACTATCAGAAATTCAAAATTAATTTAACGTAGATATTAGGTACCTACGTTTGTTGGTATGTATGTATGTTTCAAACTATTTTTATAAAATAACTAGCTCCTTAGTAAGTCTCTTGGATTAAAGGTTATTGAACGTGTTTCATCGCTGGACATCTTCTAGAAACTGAAATTACTTAAATGCAATTTCTCTATCTCTGTCACAGACTTATGTTTCTCTACGTATTGAGTGGGCTAAAATGCCTTTGTGCTCCTAGAAGTGATCGAGTTCTCAAGTGGAGACCTCGTCTCAGTAAGTAATTGTTGTCGCGTAGTAAGTACTGTGGGACGATTCTAACAATCTCTAACAAAGTGAAATTCTAAGAACATTCATGACGTTACTAATTCCTGGTAAAGACAGAAATGTCTTGAGATGCTTCTTTCGTAATTAGTTTATGGATTTATTGTCTGAAAAGATTTCTAATGGCATAACTGATAACTCATGTCTAATTATATTTAGTTGTTGCTAGTATCTAATAGGGACAGGACGTAATCAGGCCCTCATGGTGTTTGATAGACTAATAGTGCCGATAAACTAATATTAAATCTTAAAACATAATTTTATCTAAGATAAATAGATACTGGGTCTAGGTGTGATGTGTATGTGAAATTGTATGTTTGTAAACTCACCCACGATACAGGAGACAATCCTTTACAAGTACTTTTTTTAAGATTATTGACGTTTCAGACTCTTACTTACTAGATCTAACTCAAATTAATTTTAGTCGTAATTTTCTACAGCAGCCTATTGTTAATCCAGGGTTTCAACATACGAGGACGGACAGTATGAGGAATCTACTCCTATAATCAAAGGATATTGTAACAGTTAAAAGCCTGGTCTAGTAGGTACGTATCTACCCTTCTAGAAAGAACATTTTACAGCTTATTATACGCTTATATATTTTCAGTAAAAGTTGTCCATAACGATAGGCGCAAGTAAAGTATTTTAAAAACGAAATAAATACCTACTTTGTAAGCACTCAACTTAATTAGTTCATTGACTGAGTACCTAAGTGAGTACGTATCTACGTATCTAATAAAAACGACGATAGAGACAGAGCAAAGAACACAATTAAATTTTAAAATTAATTAATTCAACAAAGTAAGTATCCACTCAGCCCTAATGTGATGCCTGACGATATTAAAATGATTGCTCTTTGGCAAATATGGCGGCCGGCTGAATTATACAGCGGAAGCAAATATTACCCTCGCAAACATACGTCCCGAGAGAGCGAGCTAGTTCGCGCACTCAAAATTAAAAGCACACAATGAAAATACAGTACCGAGACCCCTACTCGGATACCTATGTCGCGAAAAGTAAGTGCCTACTCCAAGCATCGCTCTTAACACTACGCGTAGAGTGGCCCACGCATTGTTGTCAATGAAAACAGTTGCCGTCAGAGTGTTTTTTTGTTTATAGACTCTTCGATGTTGCCACTCGAAAATAAATAGCCGCGCGGTAACGAGCAATATGGGCCTAACAAGCTGTAACGATGTTTTGTCTTTACAATCGATTCGCGATTGTTTGTTATTGTTCCATCTCGCCTCGATAACAACCGAGTTTTGTGTTCAATCCGGAGCCAATTGGAAAACAACGAGGCTTGGTACCATAATGAATAAACGGATGAAGTTGGTGGGTAGTCCTAACGTTTAAATTAGACTGGGGTAATTTTAATAGGTGTACTACGAGGTAATTATTGTAACTTGGCTATTTCGATTTCTTTTCGTTGTCCCATAATACTGAAGAATCCAGTTAATAATGTCATTTTTGGGACATAGCTAACTTCCAAAATAGTGTATCAAAATTTCAGAATTCTAAAGGCAGTGGAAGTCGGTGGCTACCAACGAATAAAGTCAAGAGACCCAACCAATCACGCTATAGTAACAATTAATAATTGAACACCTAATAATATCCACCCAGTGAGTAGACTTAATAAATTAACAATTGGACTATTTCAGTCATTTAATTAAAGGGTGGCCGCGTACAGCCAGGTTGTTCGGGTCGGGAATATTAACCGCAATTCTCGGTCAACATTCACAAAATTGACACGTCAAATATTTGTAACTTCGTCCTGGGACCACGTTAGACGGCAAACAGAATCGTGTCTGGTCCTCCCTTAATTTCCGATGTTTCTACACCATCGGGCTTTTGTCCCAATATGATTCTAAGTGGTATGTTCTTACGGTTAAGTTTGGTGTGAGCCGAGTTCGTTGAGATAGCCGCTTGTCAAAACAAAATGGCGCTGACTGTGTTTGAATTGGGCCGTATCAGTCGCAAGCGGAGATTCATTTTGTCGCGTTGCTTAAGTTCGTAGTAGAGTCTCCTACATATTGTCTCAGTACACAAGGTGAGTGTGTGCCCGCGTGTTAGGCTTGCATTTAAAGCTAGCTACAAATTTGTTGTTTCAGTACAAATACTACGATGATATTGTTTGCAGTTTGACTTTGCGTTCGATCGAGGAGTTTGTTTGGCAGCCTAGTGCCGACGTCGTAATAAGTCAACACTTGTATATTGATTATTATGATCTCTCTGCTACTGTGTGTATTTTTGACGCTGGTGGCGACTCTATTTTGACTTTCAATGAGAAACGGAACAGGAAGATGAATGTTTCAACATTTCAATTAACTGTATATTTCGTTTTAAAGGGAGATGGTCGAAATATTTCTTAGATGGTACTAGGACAGTATTTTAAGTGGGGAACCTAAACTGGTAGATCCTTTTCAATATTTAATAACGGTTGACGAAAGTCACACCTTATACCTATCTGTCAATATTGAATTCAGCCGACTTGGGAACCCCAAAACTATTTGCAGATAATGTAGAAGAAAGATGCCTACAGTCAATAATCATAACAAATCAATTACCTAATTAAAGAACTTAAACATCAATAAAATTGGATTACCAAATACGTTAAGTACACCTGTTTAGAATCTAATAAGCAGAATGAAGTCAACAATTCACTCTCGCCTATGTTTAGTCTTCAAATTTACCTATGATTAAAAACCACATGTAAGGAGTAAACACTAACTTTCAAAAGAGGAGCATACTTAACAAATATTATATTGTAAACTTTACATTGGTATGGTAAATATTAAATAATATGTGTACAGGTAAATAATATTGTCGCTAGCCGAGTCTACCTGCTCTCAGTGTTGCCATTATCATAAACCAAACACGTCAATATTTACCCACACAAACAAGGGCGTAATTTTTAAATAAATTGTGGCATTTCGCGAAATTGCTTCCGCAAATAGAATTGTGGACAAGAGCCGGCGTGAATGTGTGCGAAACTTTTTTCGTCCCGTCATTCGACCATGAACTGTGTC